CATGAAATGATCTTTGTTCCCAAGGATCAAAACCTAATAATTGTGCCTTAAGCACGATATATTTTACCCCAATGACATTTTCCAACCTTAAGTTCGTCCACTGTTGCTGATTGTACTTCTTATCCCTATATTTGTCAAACTTCATAGCAGATTGGACCTTCAACTGTCCTTTATGTCCAAACTTGAAAGGCTCCAATGAGGTAATGCGTTGATCTCCATATTCCTTTTTCAAAAAACTATCATAATTCACTGTTTACACCTTTGAGGACTCATATAACAAGTTATATGCTACTAACCCTATGCAATGTAAAATGATATAGGTACTATAGACCCTTGCTGTCATCCTTAATCATTTTCGAAGAGCAAGTGAGGTTTGATGGTAAGACTGAAACTTCAGGTAAATTTTTTCATCTTTCTTTATAGCTCTGTCTGTCAATTTAGTATTCACATAAAGCTTCATCGTTCCTCGAGTCTTCTGAAGTCTTTATTTTAGTACCTGATCTTGCTTTCTCTAGTGTCTATCATTTTTTGTATTGATTGAACAATAGAATGTCTACCATTTTCCTTACTCACGGTTGCAGCAATCAACACTGTTATTTTAAATTCCCAGAATCTTTTCATGCTATTAGTAGTCACTTTCGAGTTGCAACCTTCATATGTGCAACTAGTTAGAATTGTACCAGGGAATCTAATCTCAACATGTTCTTTGACTTCTACTTGATCTTTGTTGCCTTTAATGTTGGTTTCCCCTCCTTTTATGACCTGAAGTTGTTGTTTTAATACTGATTCTTGCTTTCTCTAGTTTCTAGCATTTTCTGTACTGATTGAACAATAGACTATCTACCATTTTCCTTACTCAAGGTTTCAACAATCAACATTGTTATTTTAAATTCCCACACTGTTATTTTAAATTCTCATAATCTTTTCATGCTATTGGTAGTCACTTCCGAGCTGCAACCTTCATATGTGCAACTAGTTAGAATTGTACCAGGGAATGTAATCTCAACATGCTATTTGACTTATACTTGATCTTTGTTTCCTTTAATATTGGCTTCCCCTCCTTTTATGACATTCCCCCTTCCTTTAGATGATCCTTGTCCCAAAGGATCAAACATTTTCTATATTACGGTTATTTGCATCACAATTTGTTTCCTAAGAAAGCCTAATATGAGATATAGTCATTTTGGCAGAAGATGCCACATTTCCAATAGCACCACTAGGAATTTGGATAACTTTTATCCCATGCTTTGTATCAACAGTGTTATTATTGTATTCAGTGGAATCAATTGTCATAAGATCCTTTTTTTGTGGTTCTATTGATTCATGGAACAAATGTTTGACATCAAAAAGACATTGCTTAATCTTTGCAAGGGCCTTATGCCTTTGTCCGAAAACATAAATCGCATATGACGTTGGACTGTTAGCAGCAGGGTTATCAACTTTAACATTCCCAAACAATTCTTCAAAATCCAAAACCCCTAAAATTATGAAAAGACAATGTTCCAAGGTAGTCTTGTGAATATCATACTTAGGCTCAAAGCCATCAGTCTTTGTTCTTTCTTGTTGTTTTAGTTCATCTTTCGAAGCTGTAATTAACCGTAAGAAATAAGCACTAGGTTTCTATGGTGCTAAAAGATAGGTGATCATGTTCCTACCAAGCTTCAGTATAATAGCACTAGAGATTCTTAGCTTACCACATTCATCCGCATTAAATGTAGCCATCAAAGTGAGAGGAAGAGAATTAAGAAATATAACGTCAGGAAAGCCACTTCAAATGGTTATAGATAATGTACCCGGATCCCCATCAACTAACTCCAAAAAAAGAAGGCCTCAAATTTCCAGAATAGGTAATTAAATACGATACCTCAAGTAGAAACGGGTGCTTCATTTCACTATGACTAAGATTCACAACGTTTATTTGAAAAACATGGTGTTCTTTATAGGAGAATAAGTCTTTACCTTACTTAAAGTTGACAGCTGCAGTTTCACCATCAAGGAAAACTTCATGCCTTTTCCACCATGAACGATGATAATTGACGGAAACAAAATTTTAAGCCAGCGTCATGGGTTAATTGATCAAGCCCTCAAAATTTCCAGCAGTTGAGTCAGTATGAGACGTCGAATTTGCGTGTGCTTTACTTGATAGGGTTATTGTTGATGATACAGGTGTCGATGATCCATCAAAAGAATGTATGCCACAATGATTCAATCTACATTTATCTAGAAGTTGTAACACTAAATATTTAAGTTGTTGACTCGCACTAACTATAACATAATGTGCCATCTCTTCAGTCCCAATTTCAAGTACAAATGATCTTGGATCATGGTGTACATTTCTCAATTGATGATCGTTTCTCCTCCATCCTGTATCATAGTAAGTGGCAGTTCTCTTTCTTATTCTTCTGGAATCTTCATTTCATCAGTCTTAGGACGGATAGGAGCACTTACCTGAGCATTATCTGAAAGGGTTTGCTCTTTTTCCTCAACATCCACTAGATTTTCCTACGAAATCAATTTGCCAAACCTAATCAAATTATCGTTTTGTTGTAGTCATGAATCATCTTTCACGGTACTAGTGATGGATGGAATTGCATTAAATATTCTTGTTGGCATTTTATCAAACACTTTATACTCAGCATTTGTGTCTTCTATTGCCACCAATAACATCTTCTCAGTTTCAGGGCTTGGTGCCGCTTTATCATTTCTCTTTCCTGTCAAGTCCCTTAGAATTGACTCCAAACGACCCTTATTCATTGCAATCATTATCTCCAGGTACTGATCTTGCTTCACTAGCTTTGATAAGTCTTCAATCTGCTGTTGAATCGGTGAAAGAATAGAGGATTCAGTTATTTCTTTGCCAGGATTTATGGCTCTGGATACCAATTGTTATGACCCTGCGAGAGAAGAAGAATGGAGATTAAAGAAGAGAATAAAGGGATTTCAAGAAAAAATGAGATTTCATTCATTTCCAATCATGTCATAAGCCCTACCTAGTACATTGCTTTATATATTTAAATTGTACCAACCTATTTACCAACTGGCAATACAACTGTCTCTAACATTTTGATTCCCTTACAGGTGTTGTTGGGTGTTGTTGGCGTGACTCCCTTCACTGCTGGCAATACACATCTCCTCAATTGAAATACCTAACCCTATTCCCAATTTCCTAATTCTTCCCATCTTCTCCAATTTTTGTCTCTCATGATCATAATAGAATCATATACTAGTGCATTAATGTGTGTATCACATATATAAGGCATGAACTTAAGGAAAATGACTTAAATGTCCAAAATAAACAAATAGTACTAAATTTATGCAAGCACTAATAAGAAAGAAGACCATCCTAAGATGTAGTTGTATATTTATTCTTCAATGGGGAAATAATTATATCAGACAACAGGATTTAAGGACATTTATCATTTATCAAACTGATTTAAACCAAAAGCTTGAACACCAACTTAAAATCGCCAGACAACTTAAACTAGATATTCTAGTTAAAATATGCAGAACATGTGAAGTATAGAAGAAGAAATTGTTCAATTATTATCTCTCCCCAAAGAATATTGTTGCAAACTTTTACTCTAGACTAACATGTCCCCACAATCACATATGCAAGAGCACATTTAAGAAAGAATAATCCATTTAATCACAAATACTTCTAGAGGACAAAAAAATTCTACACTGACTTGTTAAAAAAACACGTAAACATTATCATCCTCTATATCATTCACTCCAACACTCACCTGAGCACATAAAAGAAAATAAAAAACTTCCAACCAACAAGTAGGGCAGGGGGAACCTAGAAGATTAGAACATACCTAATTTTTCCTGAGAATCAAAATTCTTGCTCCCGTCATCATCCTTTGACAAGATGCACAAATATGACTTTTACTAGTTTCAGGATCAATATTATTTTCTTTAGAACCTTTCTTTTTGGAAGTACTAACATCGATGTTACCCTTATCTCTCTTATTCTTCTTTTGACTTGCGTCACTACTAACTTTCTTCTTTCTTTTTCTATTTTTCCTTTTCGTTAAACCAATTGCAAGAACAATTTTGTTTCTGGGTGACTCATTATCACAAGACGATTCATTCTTCAGTTCAATTGCTTCTTCTTTTTACTCTGATGAAGGCTAAATTCTGATGAAGGCATTAAGTATTTTTTCAAGGAAAAATCTCCACGTTTTTTTACAAAAGGATACATAGGATATTTATATACAAGAATTAGAGATCTAGATAAAATAGGAGTCATCTACAAATTAGGAGATAGTTTTAGAGATAAGTTAGGACACAGATTCAAACACTACTCACAATTTGTGTTCTTTACAATCACACATGTAGGGTTCCTAAACTTTGAGACGCAATCCCATGCCGCATCGGCATCTAGATAGTTATTATATGACATTTCCTGCAACAAGATTAAAAAATGTATTAAGGATATACCATGGAATAACACAGCGGATAACTAAATTGGAAAACACAATCATAACATTCAACTATTTGCAAAGGACTTCATGTCCTCAACCACCACAGTGAAATGGAACAGAAACATAACAGGACACTCTTCAACATAGTATAAATTCTATCGTTGTTTGCATGGTAAGAACCAATTGGAAAGGAAAATGTATGGTTCGACTGAAAAGTCTCATATCCTGTAATAGAGTTTACCAGCAAAGCATCTAAATAAAAAAATGGTGCAAGCAAATACTTTCTTGAAAAATAAAAAAAGAGGGAATATGATTCCATAATTATCTATTATTTTAACTTATCAACAAGCATGACTAAGTCAAGAGCATAACAATATAGCATTAAGAACTAAATCACCTTCCCATGGTGTTGAACAGCTGTTGCAATACCACCAGCTAATACATGCTTGCAAATACGACTACATACTAGAACATGAAACTACATAACAATGATTCCAGCTAATACACAACTTGGGCAAATGAATACACCAAGCAAATAACATTTCACTAGTCACTACTAATAGTTACCTTTGCAGCAGCTCTAATCATTGCAGGACCACCAATATCAATATTCTCGATGCCATCGTCAAATCCAATTCTTCCAGTAGAAGTAACCTTATCATAAAACGGGTACAAGTTCACAACCACCACATCAAACATACCTGAACGTAAACAATTTTAGCTAAAAGAAAAGGGAAAGTTTAATACCATACTTGGAAAAGAAACACTTATCCATTAAGGAGTTTCATTTCACCACAAGGTTAGAAGTTAGAACTAACCAATGCCATGCTTATTAAGAGCTTCCATGTGATGCTTTTGGTCTCTTCTAGCACGAATACCACCATGTATGTTGGGCTGTAGTGTTTTCACATGACCAGTGTTTTCACATGACTGTCAAGCTATAAAATACACTCAGTCAATCTCTAAACTTAATGAGCTTTAAATTTGAAACTAATATTTAAGAGGTATAAAAGGTTGGGTCTTGTGTATCTCATTTTCGTATTAAAAAATTTATCAGTAAAATAGTTAAAATCAAGATCAAGTTGCAAAACTGCTTCCTAAATTATCAGTAAGGACGTCATTATCACTTCAGCTAATTCTTTTTTATCCCCTTAAATATTCATGGATGCCCGAACAAGCTAAATTGCTCAGACTCTTCATTTTTTATTAAGTACCCGAGACTGACACACTTGGATTTGAGGATATGACAATCTAAGGGTCCTCTAAATACATAAAAAAGCTTTGAAAAATCTAGCCATACTCATGCCCAACACCTACACAATTACACACGAGTCAAGTAACATAGCTAACAAGGCTATGGAACATTAATTAAGAAATATAGAACATCATAAAATAATAACCACGGTTACCATTTCATTGAAATAAGTAAGCTGCTCACATTGGTTACAGAGACAACAACATTTTCTAAGGCAGATGCAATTCCTCCAGTTGAAACAATTGTGCCTTATTTATGACATCTTGTTCACGTATAATCGCTCATTTCCTCTAGCAGTCCACAATAGTCAATGTAAAAGGTTATACTTTTCCCTACATTTTCTCTTCCAAAGAAGAAAAATGAATAAGCAACAAAGGTCCATAGTAAACGATGAAACAAAACATGAAAATATCCAAACAAAAAAGGGGTTATTTATTTACCCTACTTATTGAATGCCATTGCCAAGCAAGGCCAAGTCTTTCTTGTCTAAAAAAGATATTAGTGTTCGCTTATTGCCTGGAAGAGAAGCCAAAAAGGCATATGAGAGGTGAACAGTGTTAAAAACATCATAATAGGAAAAAAGGAAGGAAATAACAGTACCGGAGGCATAGGATTGTAGGTTGAGTTCAGAAGAAGCGACGGGCTTGAGAGTGCGACATGGCTTTGGTTGAAATAGCGGCGAAGGAGCATAGAAAAAATAATGAAAGCGACCACAGGCAATGAAGTGGTAAGAAGGATAATAAGTGACAGAATTCAAATTCTTGCAGTGAAAAGCGCGACGAAAGGTTTTGGCACAGCGGGCCGTAGTAGGGATGGTGGCGGCAGAAGAAGTGGCTGCCCAGACCTTACTTAGGACTTCACCGGTTTAGGTTCAAAGGAAATAGTGACGAAGGGGTTCACTAAGATTTGGATTAATTTAACTTTTCACCACTGAAATTTAAGAGTTTAAAAAAAAAACTTATTAGTGTTATTGATTTGTAATAAAACGATCCTTATTGATTAATGTCAATTACTTATTTGCGTGAGAGATTAAGCATATGACCCTTAGTATCTCTAACAGGATGATCCAACTTTAATACTAAAATTTCACTAATCATCAAAGTGATTCATAATAGATCTGATTCAAACATACATTTATATTTTTTTCTTTTAAATTTTTCAACTTTCATGCATTAAAAAAAGCACAACCAACATAAAAATTTCAACAACTACCAAACAACCTATGTACACCAGTTTAGTTCTATGGGATCATCATCCCCTGAATCGTAAAAGTCAGTGGTATTGTATCTGCGAAGCCTCTCTAGTGGGGACTCTTGGGGCACCATGATCAGCTGGACTGGGGTTGTTGGTGGCAGAGTGGTGTAACTGGGGTACTAGCTAAGGCCCTAGCAATTTGCCTAAGCTCGGTGGTGAGGTCTCTGAAAAAGGTCACCTCCTTGACCCCTGCATCTATTGGTACCCCTTGCTGATCTGAATCCAGGACGAACTCGCTATCGGTGTCGGCTGGTAGGGATACGCGACTCTCGTCCCTACCGTCCTGAGTATATGTTAGATCGTGTGACATAGGCTTTTCTCTAAACTTAGAAATAAATAGAGGTCATTATCATCATTCCAGTCATTGTAGTACTCTTGACTCTCTAGAGGCATGTACATGTATAGACACTGACTGACTCCAACTAGTGAGTCTTAGGAACGACTAAACCTGATGCTATGATACCAGTAAATGTAACACCCTAATCATTATGAAATGATGACCAATTGATTAGAATGTCACACGGGTCCACCGAAGTGACTAACCCAAAAATTTTCTTTTAAAACGATTATAAACCATCACATAAAAACATAAATAATAGAAATAAAATAAGACATAATAATAATATGCGTTTACAAAATATGTGGAGATCTTAAAATATTCAAAATAATAATGTAATACCCCGAATATCAGGTCAGTGACTATATTGATTTGATTTAGAAATTGTGTTTAAGACCAATTAGTAAGAATGGAAGAATGAAAGGGCATTTTGGTCCTTTAGGGGGAAATGGATTTAAAATTATTTTAATTAGGGTATTTAATCAGAGGAAAAAGGGAAAAGTTGAAAAATAAGCTAAGTCATCTTCTCTTCTCCTCCTTCTCTTGTTCCTGTGCTATCCTCCACAGCCAAAGGTAAGGCTTCATCTAGCTAGTTTTTCCTTTCGTTTTTGGTTTGTTCTTGAAACCTTAAGTGATATGGAAGCTTAAGGAATGTTTAAAGAGGATTAAAACTAAGAAATGGATGATTTATTTATGATTGAAGAAAATGGGTTTTGAGTGATATGTTGAAATATGAGTTTTCATTGAGGTTTACTAGTATATTTAACTTGTTAAATAAGTAAATAAGAGATTAGAAGGCTTAAAAGTGATTAAAAACATGTATGAAAAGTAGTGTGATTTTGTTTCTGAGTTAGCATCTTGGGTAGAGCATTTGGAGAGAGAACTCCATGTCATACATGTGGCAAATTTCACCGTGGAGTATGCAGATTTTTCAATGGAGCTTGTTTCCAGTGTGGTAAGACTGGTCACTTTGCCTAAAACTGTCCTAAGAAATCCGAGGATAATTCAGCATAATCTGAGAGATATATGGCCACTTCTAATAGAAGTAAATGAAGGGGTAGATCTAGGGGATAATCTGAATCAATGTTGTGATAAAAGACTCAGAGAATCGCCAGAATTTACAATATTAAGACCAATGAGGATCAGGATGACCCGGAGATCTTAACAGTTACATTCCATTTTTTTGATGAACTTGTATTTGTTTTAGTCCTGGTTCTACACACTCATACATTAGTACAAAGTTGGTTAGAGCTAGATGAATTCCTTTAGAACCAATCTTTAGTGAAATAATAGCGATAAACCCTATGGGTCACACTGCGAGAGTAACTCGGTATGTAGAAAATGCCCAAAAAAGATTTAAGGGGTTGTGTTCCTGGCAAACTTGATGGAGTTTCCCTTCGATGAGTTTGAAATCATTTTGGGCTTGGATTGGATGTCTCTACATCATGGATAGGTTGATTGTCGCAAGAAGCGATTATTTTTATGGATACTGGAGGCTCAGAAATCGTAGTGATCGGCAAAAAGTGGAATCACCATCCAATGTGATATCAGCCATGAGTGCAAGGAAAATGATGTCAAAATGGTGTATAGCTTTCCTAACTAACATGATAGATACACGAGTATCGAAAGCGAGATTAAATGATATTCCAATAATTAAGCAGTTTCCATAGGTTTTTCTGAAAGAATTATCGGGGTTACCTCTAGATCGTGAAATAGAATTCAAGGTTGAGGTTTACCCTGGTACCGAACCTGTTCCTACGGCTCTATATCGAATAGCTCCAACGGAGTTAAGATATTTAAAATCCCAATTGCAAGAGCTACTCGATAAGGATTTTTCAGGCCCAGTGTTTCTTCTTGGGGAGCACCTATGCTTTTTGTGAAAAAGAATGACGGGTCTATGCGATTATGCATCGACTACCGTGAGTTAAATAAAGTAACCATAAAGAATAAGTACCCTCTTATGAGGATTGATAATCTATTCAATCAATTGAAAAGTGCATCAGTGTTGTCTAAGATATACCTGAGGTCGGGATACCACTAATTAAATATCAAAGATGATGACTTTTCAAAACAACTTTTTGGACTCGGTATGGACACTACAAATTTTTGATGCCATTTGGATTGACTAATGCTCCTGCAACATTTATGGACTTGATGAACCGAGTATTCCAACCTTACTTGGATCATTTCATGGTGGTATATATAGATGATATTTTGGTGTATTCCAAGTCAAGAGAGGAACATGACGTTCATCTTCGAGTGGTTCTTCATATCCTTCGAGAAAATAAGTTGTATGCCAAATTATCCAAGTGCGAATTTCTGGTTAGATGAGATTGTTTTCCTTGGTCATATAGTCTCTGCAGAATTCATAAGAGTAGATCCCAAAAAGATTCAAGCTATAGTGGATTGGTAATCCCTAAAGAATATTCCTAAAGTTTTGAGTTTATTGGGGCTTACTGGTTATTATACACGGTTCTTGAAGAACTTCTTAATGTTAGCTTCACTGTTAACTAAGTTACTATGAAAGGATGTGCCTTTTTTTTGGTCAGAGAAATGCCAAGAAAGTTTTGAAATGCTAAAGAGAATCGTAACAGAGGCCTTAGTGCTTGTACAAACTGAGTCGGGTAAAAACTATGTAGTCTTTTGTGATGCATCTCATAATGGGGTGAGATGTGTACTTATGCAAGATGGAAAATTTGTGGCTTATGCCTCAAGACAGCTGAAGAATCAAGAGAGAAATTACCCGACACATGACTTGGAATTTGCAGCAGTCGTGTTTGCTTTGAAAATTTGGCGTCATTATCTATACGGTGAGTGGTACCATATTTATATGGATCACAAGAGTCAAAAGTAGTTACTCACTAAAAAATAACTGAACTTGAGACAGAGAAGATGGATCAAGCTTTTAAAATATTATGATTTGATCATCGATTATGATTCCGGGAAGGCTAATGTGGTAGCAGATGCACTTAGTCGAAAGACTTTTGCAGCTCTATGAGCTTTGGATGCACGTATGTTAGTAAAGGAAGATGACGCCTTAATTGTTGAGCTTAAACTAAAGACGATGATTTTGGATTTGATAAAAGAGCTCCAAGGACAATATGGAGCATGTTTGACTAGAATTGCTCAAGTAGAAAAAGAAGAGGCCAAAGACTTCGAAATGAGGGCTGATGGATGTTTATATTATCGTGGAAGACTTTTGCATTCTCAATAATGATGAACTGAAGAAAGATATTCTTTCTGAGACACATTATAGTTCTTTGACTATGCATCCAGACAGGAATAAAATGTATCAGGATATGAAGAGTCATTGTAGGCTGGCATGAAAGGAGTTGTATCAGATGCCTGACATGTTCGCAAGTGAAAGCTGAACATCAACTGCCATCCAGATTGCTACAATCGATATCCATTCCTAAGTGGAAGTGGGAACGAGTTACAATGGATTTTGTTTCGGGACTACCTTCGTCACCAGGAAAAAATGACTCGATATGGGAATTGTAGACAAATTGACCAAGACAACTCATTTTATTCCAGTTTGGGTAGATTACTCGATGGATAAATATATAGAATTGTATGTAAAGGAGATAGTTAGGCTACAATGAGTGTCTATGTCAATAGTGTCTGATCGAGACCCAAGGTTTACTTCAAGATTATGGAAATCCTTGCATGAGGCATTGGGTACT